GGAATATTTTCTTACAATAATTGATGGCCTTATCTCTTAGTACATTCCAGTATTTTTTATAGAACATAGGGTGGAGTCCATCAGAGCTAGGTGCTTTAATGGGTTTGAAAGAGAACATAGCACTCTTGATTTTATTAATCATTAGGGGAGTATTAAGGTTAGTCTGATCAGTTAAAGAAAGTGTGTGTGGGGTTTAGATTATGTTCTGCTAGCCTATGGGTGATATGGAGTGGTATGTGGTGTAGAGGGTGGAATAGAACTGGTAGAAGGCATCATTAATGCCTTTTTGGTCCTGTATCCAATTCCCTACCTCATCCTGTAAGGTTAGGATCATGTTTCTCCTTCTTCTATTGAGAGTGAAGGTATGGAAGAACCTAGTGTTTGCATCCGGTTTCATAAGCCAGTTGATCATAGATTTTATTTTCCAGAAATCCTCTTTACTTCTCAGAATGGATGAATACTCCTCTAAAAGCTTGGCTTTTAGGTTTTGGAGGAATGAACTAAAGGGGTAAGCTCTAGATTTTTGGATGCCTCCTAGCCTAGCCAGAATGTGTTTCTTGTTATGGAAGATGTCGCCAAAAGTTGCTCTATTCCAGATAAGCACTTATGATTGAAACTGGGTAGTTGCCACCTCTAAGTTACTATTCCCATCATAAGCCTGTTGAACTACATTTGGAGAAGAAGAGGTGGCTACACCACATAGGTTTAAACCTAAATGGTTTGGCTAAGTTGTGGGTGGAGTTATGCCACAATCTAATCATCATGGGGCAATGATCAGAGTGGGTTCTAGCAAGGTAGCTAACAGTACTACCAAGGTAGTCCTGAATCCAATCTTCATTAGCAAAACATCTATCTAGTCTCTCTGGATTAGTTGGCTCTTATTTCTATATCTCATATTGGTCCAAGTATACTTACTACTTTTAAACCCCAAGTCAATTAGTTAATAATGGTTAATACAGTGCCAGAAGAGGTTGGCTCTAGGAGCAGAGATGCAATTGCCCCTTGCTTATCCCTGGCCTTGAGGACTTCATTAAAGTCACCTCTCACTAATCAGCTTCCCTTATAACTCTCAATAATTGATCTTAGTTGTTCCCAAAGGTTTCTCTTAATGGCATAGGTGTTACTAGCATAAATAGCAGTAAAAAGCCAAGGACTAGAAGAAGGAGTTACCTTGACCATGACATTGATGCACTGAGGAGTGGTATAGACCTAATCAATCTTCAGGATATCATCCTTCCACATAATGACAATAACCCTTGATAGGCCCACCCCTGGGTTCTGGATTTAGCCTGAGAAATCCAGCTCCTGAATTAGATGTTTGTGCTCAGTCATCCTGGTCTCAAGAAGGCCAAATATGGTTGGCTTGTGCAACTTCACTATTTCAGCATAATGCCTCCTAAATTCCCAATGTTAGCCCCCCTAGCATTCCAGATTATGAAATTTATTAACAATCTGGGTTGGGGTGGTGTCTTCCTTTTCAGGCATTTGTCCTTCCCTTTCGAGGGTGGGCTCTCCTAGTTCTCCTTCATAGTTGGGATTAGCATAACAGTTGAGTCTCATGGGCCTTGTTCTAAGGCTAGACTTAGACTTATCCCGCATATTACCATGCTCCTTGGGAACACTACGATAAGCATTTCTCCCCCTAGCCCTCTGAACTCTATTAACTTCTCCTGTTGCAGGAGTAATGCCTTTATTTTAGGGACCCCTAATTTTTCTATCAATGACTCAAGCTCCGTGTTTGATACCTCTAAGTGTTCGTGGATTTTTTTTACCCTGCCACCTAGGGTGTCAGTGTTGAAGGGTAAGTGTCCATGATGGATTCCATGGGGAGAACAACGGTCTTGGAATCGATTCCCTTAGTGACACAAGTGGGAAAGATGGTGTGACATATCTTATTCATCAATAGACTGAGCTTGTTGATTGACTTTGTTTGTTGGCTCAGTGCTACCTAGGCTTACATCGGGGTTGCTATCCATAGTTGATGGCCAAAGTTCAGCATCGCATGATTCAAACGTGCAGTGACTATTGTGGCCAGGTAGTGGGGATTTTTTATGATGACTCTGATTGGCATTGCTCCGATTGTGAAGCTAAGTGGGAAGGATGTTCCTTGAAGTGTCATCTCCAACTATGAGGTTGGGAAATGGTCCAGAGGCAGTGGTTCAAATGTGACAAGGAGAGGCACTGGTTCCTCCTCTTGGTCCTAAGCTTATGCATTTTCACTCTATTGGATGGGGTTGCTTGATATTGTTTTCAGTGGGTGGGTTTACAAAATGATTTACCATTTTTGAAAATCCACAGCTGGATCTTAAGGCATCCGTCCCCTCAGTTGGTTTCCGCGCAAGAAATCTCCCATCATTTGATGTCTTTCGGAGGCGATGGCGTCTGTCAAATTATCTTAGGGGAAATGATGAGGGTGAATTGGGGGTGTAGGAGTTTGGGTGCAGAGCAACTCACTTAGAGGGAATGGTTTTTTGCCCTCCTTGCCGAGTTTGGTAGTGTTTGTAGTTGAGTTGGTTTCCGGCATGGTCCCCACAGATTGACTTTTATTGGGTTGATTTGGTACCATATTGGGAATAAAATTTGGTATGTTAGACTTACCCCATCCTCATGCGTTTATTTGATCTTGGGAGATGTGAGTGTCTGGATTCCTGTGGGTGTTAGAAGTATACGTGTGTGGCATGTGATTTTTGGTAGACCTATGTTGGGGCACGTACTAGGGCATGTGGTGGGCTGGTGATAGAGTGTGTGGGATACTCATTAGCGGCCTATGTGATTGGTCAGGCGCCCCACTTAGGCTTTGCTGACTTCTTATTGACGGGCTAGCGCAAATAAGCCCAAAAGCGTGGTGTTGGAGTGTCGGGCATGATCACTTGGCCCTACCCAATTTTTGACCCTTTGGCCCCCTCCCTATAACATCCCAGCTCACTAGTGATATTGTCCACTTTGGGTCTAGGCCCTCACGGGTTTAAAATGCGTCAATAGAGTCTAAGGCATGTCTAATTATATACCCAGGATCTCTCCCGTATTTTGTCGATGTGGGATTCGCCTAGGGTGTGAAATACACCCCTCCTTATAGACTCAGCGTCCTCATTGAGGTTTGCCCCACCACAGTTCAAGGTTGCACGCGGAGTGGCTCTGATACTATATGTAACAGCCCAGCTCACTAGTGATATTGTCCTCTTTGGGCCTGTCACGGCCCAAGCCCATGGCACGTATTGTTCGCTTTGGGCCTAGGCTCGCACAGATTTATCCTTTTTGGGCTACGCCACCTCGAGCCCCAAAAGCGCGATTGGCCATGTGAACTTAAATCATGCATTATATAGCTCTTCAATTTCCTCTCCCATTCTGATGTGGGATTTGCCTAAGGTGACATGTGCACCCCTTCTTCAGAAGCTTGCCAGCCTAGAAGCCTACCAGTCCTGCTTGACCTGCCCTCTTGTCACACCCTAGGCGAATCCCACATCAACAAAACATGGGAGAGATGTTGGGTATATAAGGAGACATGCCTTAGACTCTAGTGACGCGTTTTGAACCCGTGAGGGCCTAGGCCCAAAGCAGACAATATCACTAGTGGGCTGGGCTGTTACACTACCCATAGTTTCCAAGTACGGCGAACTTACCTGAATTCGGCGTATAGGTCTTGTTCTCCGTTCCATTGTCTTTTGCATCTAGGTGTTTCTGCTTTTGACCCTCCAATCCTTTCCCTTGCCGCCTGCTCCTCCGTGGTAATTCCACTGTCTTCCAGTCTTGTTCGCTCGGTGCTTTGTGTCTCTCCGTTGAGCTTTCTGACTGTGGTCATGCTGTTGTTTGCAATGGGCATTTCTTGAATATGTGGTCAATTCTCCCACACCCCTTGCACAATATGCCTTCTCCCTGATATACAATAGGTTGTTTGTGATCCCCAATTATTACGGATGTTCGGAGCGGTACCTCAATAGGCACTTGAATACAGATCCGTGCATATCTGCCTCTTAGAGTGGCAGAGGTATACATATCTATCTTTAGGAGTTTGCCTATCTTTTTTTCCACTTTTTCTAGGATTTCTTTATCATAGAATTCAGTGGGTAACTGCGGTAGCCGTATCCATATGACTCTGGTTTGTATTCGGGTGTTCGCCGACACGAAGGTCCTCTGTGCAATGCACTGGTCATGTTTTTCTTCTTCACGAATTTAACTATGAAGAAGTCCCAACCCATGTCTATGAGAATTAGTTGTTCGGTTGGGGTTCATAGCTGCTGTAATTTGGTCTTTATGAGATGGTGTGGGATTTTTCTTCCAAAGACCTTAATGATGACTGAGAACCTCCATGGGTGGTAAATTCGGAGTTTTTGCTCTTAGGACAGAACAATTGGCTCTGTACTATCTTCTAGAGGAAAAGTTTCGAGCTTTGTTCATGCTTGGTGGTATTGGGGGTGATACACGCTTGACTTCGTTAGGTATTTTTTCGATAGGATTTCCTTGAAAGTATTTTTTTGAGTTGTTTCGACTTCCATCGGAGAAGCGTTAATGTTCGGTGGATAAGGGGATTTCAGTAATGGTGGGGTAATTGGGTCATGTGCAGGAGGTGGGGATGAGGCCATTTTAGGGGGTGAGTTTAATAATTTTAGTGATTGGTTAGAGTTTCTCTCTAACACCGAAGAAGGTCTTAAATAAAATACTAATTAATCTAATATTACATCAATAAAATATTAAAAAACAAGTTTATATGGTGATGACTATGAAGGCTAACCGTGGTGATTGTAGATGCTGGCAGGCGGTTGCTGGCAGGCGGTGATAGGTGGTGGCTGTAAATAATGGCTAGTGAAGATGGCCGACAATAGTGGTTGATGGTGGTAATTGGTGATGCTGATAATTGTGGTTGGTAATATATGCGATGGCTAATTGAGATCTGAATGATTATGATTCATACTTTGTCTTTAAAAAAAACTTGATAGCTGAGATCAAAATGATTAAAATACAGGCCATCATTAAGTACAAAAATTTCTTACTTAGGATGATGGTTTATATGTAAATAGAAAGGGTCAGCTCCTTTATTAATTGTTGTAAAAATTGAATCGTGTCAATTACAAAACGAAAAAATAAATAAAGAGAAGCATGTTCCCTAAGGGAGACTACATCCTACCCGTGAAACAAAAAAACTCAAAAATGCTCCATGCCTAATCTATAGTACAACATTTCCACCCACAGGCTAATTTCAACTGGAGGACATTTTTTGCTGTTTCCTCCATTTGTACTGGAAAATGATTATCCACTTTTGTGGCCAATCTTGCAATAGCTTTGACAAAAAGGAAAGCACTAAAGCCCTAATACACAGATTCTTCATGGACAAAATATTGCCTGGTCATCTGTGTCTTTTTTCCGGTGAAGTATCAAGGAACAAATAGCTGTCAAAGTAGACCATTGAAATGATATATAAGAAGATGGCTCCAGGTGAGAAGCTAAACTTAACTTCATAGGTCATGATCAAGCCCAAAGAAGCCCCTCGTAGCCGAATTCTGAATTAGAAACTGGACTATCACCAAACTCGTGTTGATCGGTTGCTTCATCTGGTCTGATGGAATCAATATATGGTTCCAAAAGATCGGATGATCTTTCAGCTGGAATACCATAGTCTTTAAGAATACTAGCTGACGCAGATACGGCTGCTTCCCTTTCCAGAACAACCAGGAAGTTGTCCTCAAACTCGAGAACTAGATATTTATCCTTGCAAGCTGCATGAATAAACATATTGACCATTCATAACTGCTCAGGTTAAGGTAACAAAAGCTCAAATGATGATTATCTGTACCAACACTTACAATCCACTAGATGAGCCAAATGGTGAATGTTCCTAATTCGAGTACCATTCAACTTCAAGATCTGCCAAAAGAATGTTATTTGAGCAAGAAATATAAATGACTAATGGAACTTAGATGTACAAACCAATTATTCTTGTTTCAACTTGGGAAGGATTATAGAATCAAAGTAGAACAAATAACTTGCCTGCTCATTGCTTATATCCTCGTATCCAATATTCACTTCATTTGCCAAGACCTGTAAGTAAAATAACGATTAACAACATAACATTCCTTACTTGGCCTTAACCCGTCAGCATCATAAAAGAGGTGGCATTGGGTAACCTAGTGAACTACATTACAACCTATTTACCCATTTTTTTCACTTCAATGACATAATACTTTTCCCGGAAGTTTACGGTCCCTAGTTCCTGTGCTCCCAGTTCTGGCTAGGGCTGGGTGTGTTCAAACTTTCAAGTCCAATATGGAAAACAGCAAGTGGCTCGGGGCTGCAGATTGATTGTCAAAGTGAAATTTTCTCTTTACATACCTGTGATAGTACAACAATCTGTTCTCCGTCGAACTTTGCCAGAGAGTATCGAGCCTTTGTCAATAGTTTTAGCTGACAAAATTCAAAGAAAACAGTTAAGTCAATCACAGTAGAATGTTTGCAATCTTATGAGCAATCACCCATTTGTGAGACTCACCCCTATGCTATCTTCACATTCTTCCCTGGCAAACAAAGATGAACAAATTGATTTCAGTCTGAGAATTGGTGCACCAGAATCTACTCAATGAGATAAGAGAATGCTAGGCCCATTAAGAAAATACAAGGATATCTTTAGTAATCTTACCCTATTAAGGGTTCGGATAGTGGTGTAAACACCAAGCCGGCAACTATTAGGTATGAAGGCTGACCGCATTCTATGTGATAAGGAACCTTCAGAAGAGAGCAACTGATTTAAATCAATTATACTGAGATTATATGATGGCGTCGACAAAGAAACAAAGGGCCAGCAAACATACCAAATGCACACGTGGCTTCAAAACTGCTTGAACTTTCATGAATTCCCCAGCTCTAATAATACCAAGCTCGGCTACATCACCAGTGAACCTGAAGAGGACTAAACCTTTGTGTAACATATAAACAGGAATATGTGCAAACTTTACAATAAGGGGGTAATATGGCTAGGGAGCATGAGGGAATTCAAATTTGATGCTAAGGATTTAGTGGATTAAGTCATCAAGAAAATAGAATCATTTACTAGTTAACCCTGATTGTAGTATAAGACGATAATGATCCCACTAGCCAAAGAAAAATCAAATGAAGAAAATTTTTGATGCAGAAAACAAGGAAACATCCAAAGTAGTTTCTTGTAAATTTGGCATTACCGCTTAAGAAGCAGTTCCAAACTTAGTCATTCAAACTGAAAATGAAGTGACTAATTTTTGTCAACACTGTATTGCTTTTGGGATTATGCTTAAATGCAAATCTACTTTCTCTGGAAGTAACTAAGCTTTACTTTTGACTGATGAGATAGCGAAATGCAATGCGTGCACTAGATCGAAATGGCACTGTCCCTTCACACCCGATATGGACACCATCAAAGCTAACAATCACGTCTCCCTGAAAAAGATGAACCAAGTATTATCCAACCTCGTGACATTACCAAAATAACATCCTAATGATATAGGAAAAACTAACCCTACCAAAGAGACAGGTATACCAATGCGAAATAGGTGGACTAACTAAAAATGATCAAAGATACACTACACTCTTCTTTCCCAAGTCATTAAACTGGTCCCATCACTCATTCTCAGAGCTTGATCTTCATTTTTCCCATGAGGAGATCCCTTATGAGGTGTAGAAACACATTTATTGAATCCCTGAACGCGGAATGGATACTTATGTCCATCAATTATTTTCATAGATTCATCTTCACTTTTACATGAAGGATCAATTATGAGTTGCAGAAATCACATCTCTAGTGCTTAATCAATGTTGTAAAAATGAATGACATGAATACAAATGGTACAACTGGGTCCCTAATCCATATTAGTTGTTATTGATTGTAATTACAGTAAAACTACGACTAGTGGAATTAGGAAGTCGTATCAAACAATAAGTGTAATTAGAAATGGTGTCCCATTATCAATGGGATTAGAATCCCATAAATCATAATATATTAGGAGTTTGTGAATAAAGCAACCCTGTATTGTAGCGGAGAGACAATCTCCCATGTATTCTAAAACTTTCTACTCATTCATCTAAGTGATTTTCTACATTGTATTAAGACTTAGCACGGAGAAACTTTTCTCTTTTAGCATCTTAGAATTCTCGACTAAGTCTAGGCCAGGCATCTTCAAATCATATCTGTCCTCTTTGAAATCTCGGACCAATATCCCAACACAGTAGACAGGTAATAGTTTCTAGAATTCATAAAATTCACTCCAGCAAGGCCGCAACTGTCCAAACCCTTCAGCGGCTATTTTGATACCTATCCTCACATCTCCTGTGACCGTACAATTACTAAGAGAAGGAAGTTAGGTTGCAAAATTACTATTCTTGGTGTAGTGCAATCTAATTGTGGTCCATGAAAAAGAATTACTGACCATTTAATTAGACTATTCAAGAGATTTCAGCAAATAAAAAGCTTGTGTAGGAGAGAGTTGATGCTCAGTAATCTAGTCTCTCATGAAAGCACTAGACCCAAAGCCAGTTCCTTTTGGTCTCTTAAGACTTGCCAATTTGTTCTTAGTGTCAGGGTAAACCTTTGTATAATAGCCGTCTCAGTAGAATTTATCATGTTCTTGATGAATTGACAAGATTTGAAGAAATCGGATCTAAACATGGAAACTCATATCAGAAAAGGCTGAAATTTTATCTACTGATGCATATTATTACCGACTCTCCAAAATAATTGGCACAACAAGATAAGTTTTGCATGGTGTTCTTTCTCTCTAACTTAGATCCGCCTATGAAACACTCGTCGACAGATCCTTGGTTGTGATATGATTCACAGATTCGTACAGTAAACAATATCGGCCAGCATGCTTCTCCAGATCTCCTCCACCACCCCATCTTAGGAATATTTTATCTAGTAAACTCCTTAAAGGCTGATTCACCCTTAGCCTCGTAGACCTCGTAATTGGTTTGAGGCTTTTATTATAAGCTATTACTTTCAGCGAGCTTCTCATGAAATACAATTCTATTTTACGCTTCTCAGCTACGCACTAATTCTGACTCCCATTAAAAACATTTCTTATGTTCATGGTCCTGCCAACCCATTAACGGTTATAAGCTTTGAGAACATTAATAAGTAAAACAGAATGCACGAGTACGCTCAAATGTCTTAGAACATAATCATGCATAACAGCAAAATCTCTAGAAGTCAAAAGGTTAATGAACAATTACAAATGGATGGTACCTCTTTTAAGACATTGCTAACATCAGAAGTAGGCTCAACTTTCCGCACGAGTACGCCCTGCAAATCAATTACCAAGCATGTATTAAACAAGGATATCTAGAGATTATTGATTAACCTTTCCATACAGATACTATCAGCAAACACTATGCTTGAATGTCTCGAGCACATTATCGGCTCAGGCATTTTCAATTGACAAATGCAAAATAGGTTTCCTTTCTGATAAGGCATAAATTAGAATTATCTAAGTTGATAAAAGCGCTCAGATGACAGGTTATACCACCTAATTACGTGATTGACCAAATTGAAGGAGTACACACAATTAGAGACTTGAATGCTCATAACAGATTCTTCCACAAGATCCAGCAACATCGCAGAAGAGGATATCATTGATGTTACTCAATAAGGGAATTTCCACTCGAAACGGATTATTTATGTGTTGAAAGATGTCAGCCTGGAGCCTTTACTCAGCTCAATCCCTACCCAGTAAAACTCACTTTTCCCAAGATAGAAACCAAATGACACTTATTCTATTTTCTTTAACTCACTTTTCACATGTTTTAAATGATAACTTCTTTTTGGTTAAAAAGGTAGGGAATTTTATTTATGAGTACCACAAGGTATAAAGAGAGTACATCAGAAATGACTTCCTTCTCCTAGATATTGGAGGAGTGCAATAGATCTGACAGTGAAACTATAGATACAACAATTTTCTTACACCGCAAAAAAACTATTCAAACATCTAGATTAAAAATAAGATATTTGCCACTTTTCCAGAAACACATCTATTTTTTCTCTCTAGCCAGGTGTTCAAAAAATGCAACTAGGTACTGCATTCCAGTAGAGACTGCTTTCCTTATCTGATGACTGACTGTACCAACTGATTACTTTGTTTAATTATTCCTGGCATGACCCATTGATTCCCAAAGATATCAATAAACATAGACCAAATCTGCTTGGTGAAATTACAATGGAACAGTAATTGGAGATGGCAGTGTTTTTAACTGATAACTGGCTCTGTATAATTGGAGATGGCAGTGTTTTATTTAATTATCCACCTTTCCTCTTATATTTAAGGCCATAAACAAAGATTCTGTCCTGATTTTCTGAATTCTATCCCAAAACAAGCCCTTTCTCTCTCTCTGTAGAACTTTAGCCACTGGATCCTTCCCCTTCTCTCACTATTCATGTTGTTGCAGTACCCATTCTCTGTCTAGTAGTAACAAAGTTGTTTGAGGACTTCCACAACTGGGAAACAAGAACAAACAAACAGCTAAATTAAAAAGAAAAAAAGGGTTTCATTTTTGTTCAAATATGGGAATTCGATCTCTCCTCCCTTCCCCTCCCCCACAAAAAGACAATGACCAATAAAAGAATAAGTAAGGAACTCCACAAAGAAAGACATCTGTTATAAAGTGCTTATTCAACTCATAAGGACTTCTTTATATATATATAGCTACAAAACCAAACCTCATTCGAAGGCACTTTCAAGCAGGCACGAAGTGCTGGACTCTCCAATTTTTGCAACAATACTCCAAGGCAAGGAAAACCTGAAATCACAATACTGTTAGATAAGCTGTTGAAAACCTACAGGAACAAAAGAAGCCTTCAAATCAAATCATATGGAGCATTGGTAGTTCTGTAACGCATAAAGGATGGGACCATGGAATTTCGCACACAACTAATTGCCAAATTACTATGCAGTATTTTTTTTATATTATTGAAGTGTGAGACCATCATATCTAAAAACTTAAGCTGTTTGAGATAGAAAACTTTAATTTACTTAATTATATCACCAACATGCCCCCTCACGTGAAGGCCTGATTTCTTTTTATGGGCCGAACACGTGGAAATTCTTTTTGACAGTGAGTGGCGGTGAGACTAGAAACCAAGACCCCTGTGTACTTTAATACCATGTTGAAGTGTGTAACCTCATCTAAAGCTTAAGCTGTTAGAGAGAGCACACCTTTATATACTTAATAATGTCTTCAACATTGATAAATGAATTTACTCTGAAATAATAGAGATAAAAAATAGGCACCACATGAACAAATGAGTGGTTTACAGTAAAAAAATAAAAATCGACAAATTAGTAACTAGAATTGAATGGACCAATAAATTTTTGAAAGTTACAGGTTAAAACTTCAACCTATGTTTGACATAATTACTAAAATAGCAATGCAATTAGTAGGAACCATTAGAACTAGCAATGATAAAGTAATACTAGTGCCTATATTGCTTGAGGGCTCACACACCATTACATGATAGACCAATTTACGGATTAAGGGCAACAAACGTAATAAAGGAAGTCATTTTTGAATAAGGATGCATTGGGAAACGATAATGGCGCGGCTTGCCCTCATGCCCTCCCACCCCCTTCTCTCTAGGAATTGATTCTCACTGTGACCCTTTATCTATTCACATTATTTTTAAGTACTTCCTCTGTTCTGAAAATGACGAAAGCGTTTGGAGTAGGAGGGTCAAATCATATAATTTTCGTGTGCATTGGAACAAAAAACTTCTGTCTTTTTACTCCTCTATCCCATTTTGTGGCATTGTTTGACTGACCAAGGAGTATAAAAAAGAACTTTTAAAACTTGTGGTCTAAAACAAGTCATAGACATGTGTAGCTATAAATCATCTCATTAAGGGTAAAATGAGAATTTTAAATTCAAATTGTTTCTAAATATAGAAAAGTATCTTTTTTTGACAGACTAAATAGAAAAGTTTGCCACATATATTGAGACTCAGGGAGTAGAAGAAAATTTAAACACTAAGAAACTAGATGGAGAAGAATTGCGAATCGCAACCAGTTATAACTATAAAAATTTAAAAATATAGAACATCTTAGTAAAAGAAAAAAACTTTTTGCTTGCACAAACTGTAATAGTGCCAACTTTTAACATTCTTTAGCAAAAAAACTTCACACACACCCTTATTATCTTTTAGAATCAAAGAAGCATCAGCATTTTCTGCCAGAAGAGTCCATGGCGCAGAAGTGAAATGCTTTGGTCCTCTCATTTGCAACCTACCCATTATGACAGGCTGACAATATGCAGAAAGATTCTAGATACTCACGTAAGAGTAGAGCAGCTGCAGTAGCAACTGACAAGTTGGTTAAGTTTCAAAATAAATTTATGTTCAAAGTTTAGAACTGGGCTTTTTTATAACATGCAACTCGAAAGTGTTAAGGGGCATCACTCAACCTCAAAATGTAGCTGATGAAGTGAGAACTGCCCAAGATCATATAAGGAGACAACATATTCTCTCAACCAACATAGGACACTATAACGCCCACTCCTCCCTTCCCTTCACCCTCAAGACTAGACATCTAGAGCGGGAACATTATAACATGGGAGCCCACAACTGAGTAAACCAAGAATATGGATAGATCTGGCTCCATTACCATACTAAGAAAATGGGCCTTGGCCCTAATTGGATCCCAAAAGCTAGCTCATGCGGTGAGAAATACCAAGACCCTAAGAAGACAACAAACCATTCCTTCAACTCTTTGCTTGCCCAAATTGCAATAGTGTTATATAAAAAGGGATGCGTGAAATACCAACTTTTGAAATTCTTAAGCGAAAACCCTCATAAGCCTACCCTTGCTTATCTTGCAGAACAAAGAAGCATCAGCACTTGCTACCAGAGAAACGTCCATGGCTCATAACTGAAATGCTTTGATCCTCTCATTTGCAACCTACCCATTATGACAGGCTGACAGTACGCACAAAGACACTTGATTCTCACATAAGAGTGGAGCAGCAGCTGCTGCAACCGACAAGTTGATTAAGTTTCAAAATAACCTTATATTTTTTATTTTATTTTTTGAAAGACAAGGAAATTCTAAGTTTAGATCATTAGAAAACAAAATTCCCGACACAGATTTTAATGGTCAAGGCTTTTAAACTATATTGCAGCTGGACAAGTAATACCAATATGTCAGAACAGAAGGCCATCTGCTTGAATTTTCCACTTAAAAGAGAGAAGTTCCCTTTCCCTTCTTATCTCCACCAATCTCAAAGTGCTTACACCGCTTGATTGGGTGCTGGGATACATGTTTGCACCCTTGGCATTGCAACCTTAGCACAATCTTCTTGGTAGTTTTAGCCTTCTTGTGGAAGACAGGTTTTGTCTGTCCACCATAACCAGATTGCTTGCGATCATAATGTCTTTTCCCTTGAGCAGCTAAGCTATCTTTTCCTTTCTTTTATTGAGTAACTTTATGCAGGGTGTGCTTCTTGCATTCCTCCGATTTGCAGTAAGTCTTCTTAGTTTTTGGTTTCACCATTGTGAGAGCTAATGGGGTTTGTTACAGGAAGCACCTTTTGGTCTAACGGCGTCCACAGAACCTTTTTAAAACTGGGATTTTCTGTTCAAGTTTAGAACTGGGATTTTCTGTAACATGCAACTCAAAAGTGTTTACATTTGGCGTAACCCAACCCAAAATGTAGCTCATAAGGTGGAACCGCCCCAGATCGTATAAAGAGACAAAACATTCTCTCAACCAACATGAGACACTATAATACCACCCTCATCCCTCCCCCAGGGACTCTCAGGGCTACACATCTGGAGCATGAACAATACAACATGGGCATCAACGCTTCAGTAAACCAAGAATATGGATAGGTCTGGCACCAGTACTATATAAAATGAACCTTGGGCCTAATTCAACATTTCAACCCCAAAAGCTAGCTCATGAGGTGAGAAATGCCCAAGACCTTAAGGAGATAATAACTCATTCCCTCAAGCAATGTGAAACACTTCAACAAAGAGTATTTTAAAAACAAAACAACAAGTATAGTCAACATTTGCAGGTTCTGAATAGGTTATCTTTCTTTCCAAATTTAATTGAATTTTAGACATTTGGGTTGGATGCTTGTAAAATCCTAATTTCACAGGATTTAAACCCAAGTGTGTCCAATTGAAGGTTCTTTCCTAGTGATTCACCCAGTGGCAAATAGTTGTCATTTGGAAAATCAAAATTCTTGCATACCAAACAGAATAAGATATTGGAAACAAGACAGTGTTTGCAGAGTCCTGGATATTTAGGTAGTTTCCCAACATAGCAGAGTCCTGGATATTTAGGTAGTTTCCCAACATAGAATACCTTAAATTCATATTTTCACAAAAGAGGGAGACTCACCGCTGTACTTCCCGTTCCTTTCATAGTCTTCCAAAAAATGAGACACTACAGTAGTTGGGATGACATAACCAATATTTTCAGTCTCATCTGACCTGTAAACCTAAAAGACTTGTCTTGTCAAAACATATATCTTAAAAGAAAGCACGAACTTTGAAAAGAACTTTTCATAGCATCAATTTGTCATAGTTGAAGAAACCAGCATGATGATAACCATGTTTTGACGGGGAAATGCACAAGGAAAATGATTCACACACTGATCAAAGGGCAGAACATGTTGCTGTTCAGATTCAGGAAATTTGAACTTGTAAAGCAGAAAATATCAAGAAAGGCTTCAAATAAGCAAAAAGTATAAAAAGTAATTTGTGATATTATTGATGAGGTATATCCGTATATGGCTTCGGAGGCAATTACCAATTCCCAATGGTAGTAGTTTTATGGTCTGTCTTGAGGCAAGGTTTCAGGCTAGTTCAAACATGCATTTCCGAACCAATGATGATAACTGTAGCGGTAGAATGAAGAACTAGTGCAATTAAGTAGTCATAATTTATAAACCATTTGAAACTTGAAGAGCAAAAGCTGCATTCCAATTTATAAAGACATTATTTTTTATAGACCAAATGGTAAATCCACAAGAAGCCATAATTTAGTAACCTGACAATAGCAATATCAGATTCTGACAAGAAACTACCTGAAATGCCACCCCTATGCACTCTCCATCGTCATTGAATGCAGGGCCGCCACTATTACCTAAAACAGTTGCTATTAGTAGCAGAAACTACAGTACAGAGAGAAAGCACAAGCCATGATCCTCGTACAAGCACTTGTACGAAGTCATAAAAAAAAGTTAGATTTTCTTTTCTTTTTTGTTCTGTTTTTTATAAGGTATAAAACAAGTTAGATTTGATAAATGGACCTCGGGCCTAACTCAAACCCAAAAGCTAGCTTATGAGGTGAGGATTGCCCAAGATATAAGAAGACCAAGGACCTCAAATCCCACCGATATGAGACAACGCAACACCCCCC